AAAGGGGGGTTTTTTTTTGAAAAATTTGGGCTTTTAAGGGTTTTTAATTGAAATTTTTTTTTCCCCAAAAAAAATTTCCCCCAAAAAGACCTTTTCCCGACAAAAGGGGGGTTTTTTCCCCCCCCCCCCCCCCCCCCCCATGGCTACAGGCCTGTTTAAGTTAAATACATGTATCTAGAAATCATGTATATAGATATCTGGTAAGTATGAATAAATGCAGAAATTTTACTTGTCAAGAGCCAAGCAGAAGGCTACCTGAGAAATCAACTGTAGCAGACTGCTTACTGTAGCAGGGGTAGATCCAGGTAAAAATGTTGGTTCTTTATTTAATGTTTACAGCCAAGACTTATTTTTAGGACTCATTACCGAACGACCTTATACTTCTCTTACCCTACAACACCTTTCAAACAGGTCTTGCAAAATCTGTGTCCACATTTCGTTTGGATGGCATCTCTGAAGGCAGCCAGACAAACAGGACAAACATATTTCCTATCTAAGTCTGGTTCAAATGTTTCATCATAGCCTTGGCTTGGCTCCTGGTTGCTGCCGCTACAACTGGTCCTGCTGCTTGTTCGGCCTTGACGCCTGGGTGTACTGCTTCGAGACATCTCCATTTCCTCGGGTTAAAAGTTAAAACACACCTGATGGAATAGATGGAATAGCAATTTTAAGTTAATAATGTTTATATAAAGTAGCAAGAAAGAAATGATAACATCTTCAGTGCTTTACTACCGTCATTTTAACATTTTGAACCTGAGAAGTAAAACACATACCAGTCACTTGGCACTTTAAAAATGGCGGGCAGTAGACACCGCTAGGTGGCCGCTGGTAGCAACACGCACCAACACATGTACAAAACACACACCTACAAACAAACATCAGCAAACAAATAAAAGACTGGAACTAAATTTACACAAAAATGCATCATATTTGTATCATTTGATTCGTTCTAAAAAGAAAACTCTTAATATGTCGCAGAGGAACGTCCTGGGAGCTGAAAGAGTCAAGGTCATGTTCCACTCGTAACCAAAACGGTGAACGAACTTTCACGTTATTAAATATATTATATTAGGAGTCAGGGTTAAGTAAGCTGAATAAACACAGCGACAGACTCCTCAGAAGGTCGTTCAGTGTTTACAAGTACAATTGAGCCAAATCTGAGTTAGTCGTTTGTACGTATATACCAAGGCGATGGGTAAATGCGCAAACTGGGTAGACAGCTGAGTTTGATCAAATTCCCTTAAACTGTTTAAGGATGTAAGTACATGTACATGTAAGTTATTGTTGTTCTGGTCACATCTTGCACACGCACCTATAGTGTTAGTTCTAATAGATAAAAACATTCTAGCCTGCGGGATATCGGCGAAAACAAGCATTTGATTAGGACATTTTTGATTGCAAATGTCATAACTAATCAAATTGGACAGTATGAAAAATTGCACTGCTATGTACTCAGTAAAGTGTAACCCATGGCTATTGTGAAATTGATTATTATTATTATTATTTTAGAACAACATGGGAAAGCAGGATAAAAAAGAAGGCGTTTCTATCCACTGGTTTAGACATGGGCTGAGATTTCATGACAATGCCTCCTTGCAAGAAGCCCTAAAGGATGTAAAGGAGTGTTACTTGATTTTCATATTTGATGGTTCTGTGGCAGGTAAGGCCTTACAATATTTTTTATTTTCACAACACCAAACAAATTCAGTGCTTTTTATTTGTACCCCACCTGCCCATTCATGGAAGATTTGGCATGAACAGTGAATCTTTCTTTCCTTTTGTATGATTTTTCTTACATTTTGTCGAAATTTTGTATCATTCATTGCTTGTCAGTTTTATTATTTCATTGGAATAAACATAAAAATAAAATGTGTGAAAACAAAGACTTGTTGCAGACATCAATGAGAAAAGGTTGTGTGTTATAAACAGCTTGGCTTTACCATTTTATAAAGTAAATTCCTATATAGAATGCTACTAAATTGTTTCCTTAAGATTACTAGTGGGTGCATATACATGTACTGCTTTCAGGCACAGACACTGCTGGGTATAATAGATGGCGCTTTTTGCTAGAGTGCCTAGAAGACTTGGACAACCAGCTAAAAGAACTTGGAGGAAGGCTGTATACATTTCAAGGCGATCCTGTAGAGATTTTACAGAAACTGTTTGATGTAGGTATAGAGCATTAAAAGTTCTGGGATATGGTAATTACTTACTATTCAATTACTTACTTTTCAATGAGGGGAAATGTGAATTTTACAGATACTATATTTTAAAGTCATAATTTCTTTAAATTTGGACATTCCTGTTAAGTGGTAGCAACAAAATTTAAAAAGCAGGCTATTCTATAGTTTTACTCTATGCAGTAGAAGCACCAAAAATGCTATATAGAAACATAACTTGTTGTGATTATAAAATTATATATCTGAAAGCTTGATAATTTTTTGCCCATTGAAAAGATTGAGTCATTACAGACCAATAGTACTTTTATGATGTTATCACTTCAAACCATGCTAAGGTTATGATGATTATAAGCATGTCGTCAGCATGTTGTCAGCTTGGCATTTTCAATAATGCCTCAAAAATCTTTTCACAAGTGATTTTCACCATTTAATTTGAAGAAAAATAATGAATAATGAAAAATAATGCTTAATCTCCAACTTTTAACAGCATTTTGTAATTTTTTTTTTTTTATGTTTTATCATGATATGACTTAACATATTGAGTTTGGCATGACTGAACATTATCTTTACTTTCTTGCTATTTGTACCTGATAGATTTTAAATTATGAAGTAAATGGGTTTTCATCTGTAATTTCACTTGTTATTATTATTTTATTTAATTCTTCGTTTTTTTTTCTTTTTTTGTAGCTTTCTTGATTTTTGGCACCTGACAACTTTTATTGATTTTTATCTTTGATGCTCATTTATAGGAATGGGGAGTGACAAAGTTGACATTTGAGCAAGATCCAGAGCCTCCTTGGCAAAAACGGGATATTGCTGTGAAAAAACTCTGTAGAGAAAAGAACATTGAGTGTATTGAAAAAGTATCCCACACTTTGTACAACCCCCAAGAGTAAGTTGCAACTTTATTTCTTTACTAATAAGGATTATGATTGAAACAAAAAATGGAAGATTTTAAAAAATATATATACCCTGTTACACAGTTTTGGAGTTCCAATGTACTAGAATTATGCATAATTATTCTATCAAGTAGTTCTAGCGTTGAATATATACCAATGTGTAGTTGTGTAATCACTATTTTATTCTGTTTTTCTTATTTAATTTTGGCATTATTATAGTTATTGAGGTACATTGATTACGTGGCATTTTGAAACTAAACTTTATGAATATTTTTCATCTCAATTTAAGCATTTTGAAAGCAAATGGAGGCAGTCCCCCCTTGACTTATGCCATGTTCTGTGAGGTTTGCAAAACTCTCCCTGCGCCAGAAAGACCACAGCCTGTCCCAAGCTTCTCTGGGGTATCATTGCCTGTGGCTAATGATTTTTCCAAATTTGAATTGCCTACGCTGAATGATTTTGGTAATTATGAATGTCTGAGCATTCTATTTATTAATTATTGGGTCTCTTTATAATTAATATTGGTGGGATGAAAATTAAACAATTTTATTTCAGTCAAATACTTACAGCAAAATACCCAGTACTTTATTTAGAAACATAAAAATGATTCACTGGTGAAAAATGTTATACAATTATATCATGATTGTAACATTTTCTTTGTCCATCTTAAGTTAGGTATAGTGTTTGGCATAAAGATTTCTTGTCAACACATTTATGTACTGTAGCATGGGTTCTTTGCTCAATATGGTTATTTTTGCAAAGGTGTTTTATTATTATTAATCAGATAAGCAGCCACGTAGAAAAAAATCATGCCTTTATTCTTCAGCCACTTTTCATGCATATGTGCACACTATAATTTAGTTTCACTGTAAAGTTTTATCTTGTAGGAATAACACCTGAATGTTCAGAGCAGAAAAAAAAGAAAACACCCCCCTATCTTGGGGGCGAGTCTCGTGGGTTGGACTTGTTGGAACTCAGAAGAATGCAGGAAAAGACTGTAAGTTGTTGTTGTGAATGAAATTTCAAGAAGTATTGATTTGGGTACATTTTACTGGTTCTTGACATAGCCTTTATAACATATTCTTAAGTGTATAAGGATACCATATAAATACCATGGTCTCTGCATAAGATAATGCAGTCATCTACCCTTATGCAGGCTTAAAAGTGACGACCTCTCAGAGGTCTGCACGTCATGATACAAGCCAGTATGTCTTTGGCCGCATTCAAAAAAGTGGACTTGCTAGTCCATGGGGTCAAGTGTGGCGACCCACTAAAAAGCTTGCCGTCTAATTCATTAATAGACACTGAATAAATTCCCCGTAGGATAGTATTCAAGTGGGTTGGCCATATTTGACCCTTGGACTAGTTAGTCCACTGTTCAGAATGCGGTCTTTGTGTATGTTGATATTTATTACATTATTTTCAGTCCTATAAAGCTGGATTTATTCTGCCACACTATGTCAACCCTGATTTGAGTGGCCCTCCTCTTAGCATGAGTCCACATCTGAGATTTGGCTGTGTGTCTGTCAGGAGGTTTTATTACACTATACTGGACACTTTCAGAGAAGTTTATAAGGTACGGTATGATGTTATTATTAGATCTAGTAGGTATTTTGTCATATTTAGCAGCTACATGTAATTAAACTGTAAATTGTTTAAATAGGATATAGTTTCAATGGGAATAATTTGAGATGGCCCAAAATCTCGTGACCTACCATATAGTCAAGCAAAATTTCACTTGTTTTGGAGGCGAGAGGGGTTAGAAATAATGGCAGGTTAGTGAGTGCATATTCAGGGGTGGAGCCAGAGCTATTTTCTGACCGTCTTCCAAATTTTCTTTGTTGATCCATCCTCTATTTTGACCGTCTTCTGACAGATAAAATTAGATACCCGTCAATGTAAACTTGAAAATCTGACCGTCTTCCAGAAGACCCAGAAGACGGCCTCAATCCGCCCCTGCATATTGGCAATGAATAACAGCTGACAGAAGTTATCCACAAATATTATTCTTGTTTTTTCTTAAGTTTTGTCATTAAAATTACAGTTGAGTTTATTGCACAACAGTACAAATTTACCGTGTTTGGGATATAACTTTTGCATTACTTTCTACATAAGGTATTCCGAGTGCATGGTGTTTGACCTTTATGGCTAGATTATTCACAGTGCCCTGTTTCATGTGAATTTTAGCAGGTTATCTAGTCTCCTGTGATGTCACTCAGTGTTTAAGGTCTTGTTTTAGACTATCTGGGATTATCTTCATTGGATATAATAGCATGCATGTTGATGTTATAATTAGATCTAGTAGGTATTAATATAATGATAGCAGAAATTCAAAACTACACATTTATCCTCACATACTACATGTATACACTAAATAAGAGTAAATAAGAAAACTGCAAGTGCAGTGCTATCTAGCATTGGGTAGGACATTATTTCCCTTACCAGTATGGATTAACAGGGTTTTTTTTATTTCATTAATATGAATCTTCTTAACCATAAATACATATTTATAGGGGTATTTTTGATAAGTGCACCCTCCACCCCCCAATCAGTAAATTAAATTCTAAAATGTACATGCAAGCATCAATTTCTTTTTCTTTTTTTTTTTCTTTTCATAATACAGGACCACGAGCAATCAAATGAGTTGCTCACAGCTCAGTTGATGTGGAGAGAGTACTTCTATGTGATGTCGGTGAACAATTCAAACTTCACTAAGATGGTAAACAATCCCATCTGCCTGCAGATTGACTTCAACTGGGACCATGAGGTTGTCAGGAAATGGGAAAAGGTACTCGGCTAATTCTGACACTTGATAAGTTTTCTGTTCTGAATATGCTTGAATAATAACAGTAACATAATATCACAATAACACATAATATCAAAGTACAGATTTGGATATTCCGATAATAAATTTAAAGCAGAAGCAATTTCTGTGATTTTATTATTATGCCAATGTTGTTTTGCATTTGGTGGTAACAGATAAATAGATAGACCAAGCCTACATCATCTTCTTTTTGATCCGTTGAGGGATAAATATTAATGAAATGGTGTTTAACAGATGGGCTATTTTTTCAATACATGCTGCTGCATGGCACATTTATGGATGAAATTGTAGTGTGCACAGAAACCATGTAAAAACAACATGCATGTGCTAAATGATATGTTGGGTGGAATTCAACTAAGTTCATTCACTACCAGGGACAGACTGGGTATCCATGGATTGATGCTTGTATGAGGCAGCTGGTACAGGAGGGTTGGCTGCATCAGGTGGGGCGGCATGCTGTGTCTGTGTTTTTGACCAGAGGGGACGCGTGGCAGCACTGGGAAATGGGATTACAGGTAAGACTTAATGTCTCCATTTAGATCATTGGTGGAAAGTTGCACTGTATGTTATAGAAAAAGTGAATCGATTAAAGCCTGAAGTTATACTTGGTTTTACTGGGTGTGATATTTTGTAGGAATGATAATAAAATAGTTTTTGTGTACTAGTATTTTTGGTGTGTGTTACAGGTAGTCCTACCTGTAATTCATCTTTTGTTTACCTCTATCTATTTCACCTTTATAAACTGATATTGGTAAAAGTAATGCATTTTTTTTTTTTTTTTTTTGGTATGAGATATTGGATAATTGCAATAGGCTCTGTGCAGTAGATTAGTTATTTGTTCTGTCCAAGGTTTTCTTCAAGTACCTGTTGGATGCTGATTGGTCAGTCTGTGCTGGCAATTGGATGTGGGTATCGAGCTCTGCATTTGAGAAGTGCCTGGACTGCCCCAAATGTTTTCACCCGGTGCGCTATGGCCAGAGGATGGACCCTGTTGGAGATTATGTGAGGTAAGTAAGTGGCTTCATTAAAGATTCCTGGGCCTTTGAACTGATAAGCTGAATATTTTAACCTGAGCAATCTGAAGAACAGAAAAAATTGAGTAGAGAAAAAATGTAAAAAAAAAGGAAAATATTTGGAAAAATACTTTTATTAAATAAAAGTAAAGAGTTCTTACTTTGTGTCAGAATGTTCTTTAGTCAGTTAAGTAGCAAAACATATTGTTTTAAATACTTGGTTCAGTCACTTATTGGTTCTAGGAAATTTGATGCAGTTTTTAGCTTTTCATACATTTGTGAAGTCCCCTTTTATCAGATGAAGTAATGAAAAAGGTATTTGTATATTATGTGCAAGTTTATTGAATTAAATATCATGTTTTCCAGACGGTATGTGCCAGAGCTTTCCCAGTTCCCCCTGCGTTATCTCTTCCACCCCTGGAGGGCGCCACTGGAGGTTCAGAAAAAAGCAGGTTGTATCATTGGCAAGGACTATCCTGCACCAATTGTGAATCATGCAGAAGCTGCCATGAAAAACGGAGAAAGGATGTCTCTTGTTCGTGAAAAATATGCAAAACTTCCTGGTGGGTTTAACAAAAATTCCTTTATGCAATTTCATTCCTTTAACAAATTAATCAGTAAATTAATGGTATACTGGCAAATGTCTTTCTGTCTATCCACATGGACAGGTGGATGGATAGATGGATATCGCACATATTATACCTTTTCTATTTTTAAGCCACGTTTTGCCAGACATGTTTTTGATATCAACTGTATGGTATTGTCAAGGCCGGTCCTTTAGACGTATGGGGAGTAAAACTGGGAGGGGGTTATGACTAGTCAAATACCCAATCTCTGTACATTAACTGAAATATAGAATTTTTTAAAGTTGACCATAAATGTGTCACTTTTTGTATTTATGTTACTGTTATTACTTGCATCGCATTATCAAACATCTGTGCTCATATGTGAAGAGAGTGCATGATAATGTTGTATTATAAGGTAAAACATAATGACATAATGTTAGTGTATATATTAAATATTTTGCTGCCCTATATTCTAGACATTCCTCATGTGAAGCCTTCTAATGATGAAGAAGTATGGCGGATTGCTTGGCTGCCGAGAAACTTGACTTCTGTCCCCTGTGTGTCTTCTGACAAATGTGATGCTTTGGATATTGGTGAGTAGAAGGAAAACAATATACTAAATCGTGCATTGTCTGCTGTGTAACATTTTCATAGCCTGTATTGTTAGTTTTCACCGTTAATAGCTGATTATTATCTGAGCCTGTTTGATTTATAAGTATTGTTGCTTTATATTGCATTTGAATGATTATGACACCACATTCTATGACATGTACTTCAATTCAGTTTTTTATGTTTACCAACAGATAATAGCTTTTTGTTTTTGTTTTCAGATAACCTTGATGGATTGAGTATGTAAAACATATATCCAGTGTCTCAATTTAGCTGAATCTCAAAAGCAGTTACCAGGTCACATATAAAGGGAAGGCTCAGTAGATACTGTGTACGTACCAGTAGGTTGATTATCTATCATATAATTTATGCACACTTTTCATATTTCAATACTTAAAAGGATTACACAAGAAAGAAGTTGATACATTGCACAAAATTTGCAGCATATCAGCCAACAATTAACTATTGTTTCAGAATTGCAAATCACTTCTTAAATATAATTGAATACATTTACAGCTTGGTTAATTGGTAAATTACAGAAACATGCAGAGTAATGCTTATGAGTAATAATGTAACTGAAATATTTGATTGAATTAAAAAACAATTAAATACTTACTTTTGAGATATTAAAATGTATACCATATATTTTAATAAAGGAGGTATTGTTATCATTGTGAAACTTTAATGGAATTAATTTTATGAAAGTGCATTAAAACTTATGCCCATTGACATGCTATTTCTTGAATTTTTTTGTCAGGCAGTGGAAGTAAAAGTTAAGAAAATTGTTTTGTTTATATTAACATCATATGTTGTGAAAGCTGTATGTCACGATAAATGTTCATGTGGAATATTTTATATTATCAGTAATATTTCAAAAGTCATTATCATATCACTGAGTAAATTTGTCCAATCTGATTGGTTGAAAAGTGCTGAATATGGTGCAATATACTACACCCCTGACCCTCATTTACTGACAGTATTTTAAAAAAATAGGTCAGCTGCCAAATAGCGTAGTTACATCACTTTGGCAGTATTTTGCCTAACTTTGCAGCGTATAGTATTTGCAATTGAAATGAGGTAAACATGGGGTTACGTATCTTAATTCTCAGTTATGTATTAAGAGTTATGTATTAATTGTATGTATTAATTCGTAATTAAGAGCAAACACTCCACAACATGATGAATTTGTTACGTAGTCACCTAGTGGAGGATGAGGAAAAAATGTCTGTATTTGGACTCGAATTGTGCCTCACGCAATTCAGATTTTTTAGAGAGCTCTATACCATTCTGTGTCCCCCAGTAGGTGATTACGTAGTTTGTGATATTATAATAGCAATGTACCGTAATCCTGTAAAGCATCATTAAATGAGTCATTTTAATCATTCGTACTGTGTAAAGTAACTCCATGAAGTGATCAGTATTAATTATGTGACCTATAAAAATGATTTTGAAGATGATATCCGTNTAAATCGTTGTCATGTGGAAATTTGGCATTAATATAATCCGATATGTCCATATCTAAGTATTTTTGGGTGTTTTATGGTATGGGCTGCAATTACAACGATGTTTTAGAGGTCTTGAAGGACCTTGTGAAAACCAGGAAGTAGTTCGTAACTAACAAGTGGAATGTACCGATCTCCGACTGCTGTGCACAGCTGTATCTTTTTTTCAATATATTGACGAATTTTTAGATCTTTATATGTCCATCTGGCATGAAATTCCACACACATGATCACACTGATATACCTTTTACACTGGGGAAGGCGCTAATCAGTGACAAATGCCAAGACAAAGGTGACATTCTGACAGCCTCTTATCTGAGTTAAAAATCACTGACAAAAGAGACTGGCAATCAATTTCCTCAGGCTGGCAATCATTAGCCTATAGAAATTGGTCATGTTACATGTTATCTACCTGTGAGAATCGTTTTACCAACTGAGTATTGCATAATAATGTCAATTATTAGTACTTTGAGCTAGTCTTAATTACCTGTCAGCTCACCTGAATTCTCTTTTTGTCTTTTTGGGAAGATCTTGTCAGTGAAATGTTTTATTTGTCCTGTGACAAAAATTCGTCAATATATTAAAAAAAAGATACAGCTGTACACAGCAGTCGGAGATCGGTACATTTCACTTGTTAGTTACGAACTACTTCCTTGTTTTCACAAGGTCCTTCAAGACCTCTAAAACTTCGTTCTAATTGCAGCTCATACACCCCAAAAATACTTAGATATGGACATATCGGATTATATTAATGCCAAATTTCCACATGGCAACGATTTACAGCCTCCCGGGAATTATTTTCCATTTACACTCTTTGTCGCAATGGCGGTCGATGCAGCATTCATTTTAAAACAAGTTGACCGCCAATTAAGCACGATTTTGCACCTTCAGGTTCCGTGTCACGTTTTCATATCATGCATTTATTATTTCTACAAGTTTTCTCTGCCCAAAATGCGTAAAGAAAAAGTGTTATCTTACCATGTTGTTTAGAAAACTTCTTTTTCCTCCGGCAACCCGTCTTCACTGCCGTTCACCTCTATGTTAAAATGACCACTCAGCTTCGTTTCTAACACCACTGCACGTCACTTCCGGCACAATTGTGACCAATGCTGATCTTCTCCGGTTCCCTTTATTATGTTTATGCATTGAAAAACAAATATGAAAAATATACCAATTTTATTTACAAACCACTTGATACACCTTAACCTTGACATTGTGACTTAACATAAAGGATTTAATAACAGGAAATATTAATAACTGGTAAATAAGGTAACTGATTCACAAGAGTTTCATTGATGATTAACAATCTGTCGGCAGTAAAATGTTAAACATTTTTCCTCAACATAAAAAGTGATACATTTGATTAGTGCAATTTCAGTCAATAAAACTTTCAATTTACTTTTAAAATTTTATTAGAAACCTTTTTCTTTCTTTACATCAATATGATGCTGAACCATATGCCTAGTATGATGTCTTAATAATAAGCTTATGCTTTTCAAGAAGATAATTACATTTGTCATCTAACATAATCTTCAGTGGTTTAAAACCCTCATCATGAAATATATAGCATTTATACATTTACTACAATTGACAATATACATAATAGCCCTGCCCTGAGCTTTTAGCACATCTCAAACTTTTATCTTAAATTCATCACTCCCTAAGGATGGACATTCTATTAGCTGAACCTAAAACAAGATATGAACAAAACTTGGGAGGTTAAATAATAGTCTATTAATATTACAGATTCATTATATGGCATTAAAACAATAATTTATTCTTCACTGCTTTTTCTCATCACCAACAGTCAGATACTACAGAGGATTTGGCAGTTTGAGCACCAATTAACACCATGTAAAATTCTAGGGGCCTCAAACAAGAATTTGCACAGCTTACTTCCATTGTACAACATGTCACAACAGACAGCAATCTTCTGCTGAACTCCAAATAAGCATGGGAACAACAAATGCAATGATGTCCACAGTTATAGCTATGCCCCACCACAGAATAAATATATGTTATGATCCAAACAATCACTGGTAAATAATAATGCTGATCACCACAATGTGACACAAATAGAAGAATAAATGCACCCCAATCACCTGTGTCAATTCAATGGCTAGGATAGCATTCATTTCTGAAATACTGCCCCTAGCTTTGAGAATTAGTTCTGAGTAAAGAAAATGGTAATTGGTTTTGACAATTTTTCATGGATTTCTCTGTAAATTTCAAAGGAGAAACTTGATGGGTTCAACAAATATAAGGGTAGAATGATCCACATTTGAATGAATGACAGGCAAACAGATGCAAGTAAAATGTGTGTCTCACTGAAGATATGTTCAGTTCTATTTATTAGCAGAATATCTCTGGAGCAGCAAAGTATGGCAGTTGTCACAGACCCTCACAGGCTTGGCAGAGGATGGCAGTGGCATCTTGTTGTCAGAACATTCAGAGCAATAGATGTCTCCACAGTTGCGACAGTGGTGCTGAAAGCATTCAGTATGTTTAAACCAAATGTGACGACTTTGAGCTGAATTGGGAAGACATGAATGTGTAGTCTACTGCTGTAGTCCCAAAAAGTTACAACAACTTTTTCATTTAGTAACAGCTCTTTAATTTTTTGCCATTACAATTAAAGAGACCTTACAGATGAAATATTTTAATCTAAAGATTTTAATAACTTGCTAATTTCACACAAAATAGCTATCATACGAAAGACAGACAGAAGAACTATGAAGTAAAGGAAATAATGGCACTTACTTTTCTCCTTGAAAGAGAAAATTCTTTGGTACATCCCTTACAATTAGTAGCCTCAGCATCATCAGCCCATTGTGCTTCCTTCAAGGCCTGCTGTGCTTCACGAAGATCCTCCATCTTCAATTTTGACCTTAAAAATGACAGTCAAAGAATATCATATACAAGAAGACTAAAACATATACATAGCAGGGTTATGCAAGTAAAACCTATCGAGTTTAACTTTTTCAAAACCATTTAATGGGCATCGTTTGAGCCTAGAACTTGACTGTCATCACTGAATGAAGTATACAAAACTAGAATGAAGGCAAGATTCCATAAGGTGTTTTTTTTCAGAGATTAGAATGAAACTATATGTGCTGAGAATGTACTCTTAAAAAGCAATACTAAAGTGACACCCAAAACAAAGTGGAGTAGTACTGTTGTGTTATATAGATGTGTAATCTGAGAAAACTTCAAAACCAGAAAAATATCTGTAAAAAATTGTGAACTTTTTTTTCAATGTCACACCGGACTCCAATCTATTCAAGTCCTGCAATATCTTGCTTGATTTTACAGTAAGTCGCAAGACTTTGGACTAGCTTGGTCAATTCCCATTGAGAGCCAGACACATATAAATTGTTGTCAATAAAAAAATCAACTAAAGTGAGAATTGAAAAATAACCAGCAGATCATTTACGTGTACTGCCTACAACTTTTGCTGCTTAACGTGAAATTACGTAACAGCTTCATTAAAAAAATTTTTTAATGTCCTTTGTCAAATGAAACATACTCGCTCAAATGAGAACCAAGTTCTGTCAAAGCTTTTTCCTGTTCCTCACAAGTTTGTTTCATACTTTCATGCCTCTTCATCAAGTCACTGTATTCCTGCAAGACAAGTCATTATCTAAGTTTAGATATAATGTTACAATTAGTTTGCTAAAGCACCATCATCAGCAGTATCCATTTAAGTTTTTGATGTGGGCAGAAGACTCAGAAGATTGCATAATATTGGTCATCCGCCAACACCATCATCAGCAGTATCCATTAAAGTTGTCTGAGTGGGCATTATAGTTATTAGCGTGGGCAAAAGACCCTTCATTCAGAATATAGGATAACTTGTTTTTAAAATTCGCCATTTGATTTATGCAAAGGATCATTAATACAATACAAAACAACTGATTGTGTGAAATAGCAAAAAAACAGACAAATAAGTAATTTTTTACTACCTACCTGTTTTACCTTTCCCATCTGCTGTAAATCAGACTGCAGCTGAGACACCTTCCCCCTCTCCTGTTCCAGTGTCTTCTGGACCGTGCCCCGCCACTCTCGTTCAATTCTTAGATCTGTTTCCAAGGCAGCCCTGTGTTGTGAAAAATATACAAATGTCTTTATTGAGTGGAATTTTTCTTTCTGCAAGTCTGTAACAAGGGAGGATGTAGATTTTTCAATACAGTCAGTTGGTATAAGCCCCCCCCCCCCCACCCCACTCTACTCCATCTGAAATATCTGTTCAACTGTGCCTAACAGAAAATACGTAGTTCATGTTCTTATGAAGTCCAACTCAATACTCCTTGCACTTTTCAAACATGAATTAAGTAAATATTTTTTCTCTTTGAACAAACCTTACTATAAAGCAATTTCTTGAAAAAGACCGTTCTGAACTAATATTTAAGAGCACCCATAGCTCTATGAAGAAAAAAAAGACTTGCTACAAGTGATGTTTAACTAAATTAAATGAAGAAATTAAATTGAACATCTCAAAGTGTATCTAAAATTGCCAATTAACACAGCAGTGGTGTATTTGGTTATAATAAGTATTTAACTGTCTAAAATGAGGTTGGTTTTCATATACTGGGAAATATTTCAAAAATTGATAATATTTCTATTAACCCTATTCTATAAACCATTAACTACAAACTAGCCAGATTTGGGTAACTTCAACACTATTTATGCAATAAGATCTTTCAAATACAAATTTCCTTTCAAAACTAATTCACTTTCATTAATCACCATTAATACAAACTAGTTTAAGGCATAACTTTCCATTATAGATAAATAAATAAATCTAGTTGTTTATTCTATTTTCACTGTAAACTCAAACTGAGTCCATTTGCATGCAAAAGTAAAACACAGAACACAGCTTACTACAAAATACACAATAAACAGCTAAATGAACAATATTTTACAGAGCTAACATAAAACACAACACACAAATAATCTTCATTTTCCTAAACTAATCTAAGTCTCTTACCGCCTAGAATCTTTCTCTGCAAGCTGCTGACCCAACTTGCGTGCCGTCTCCTCAGCTGCAATTTTGTCTGATTCACATTGCTTTACTCTGATGAAGGTTACATCATGCAAAAAGAAAAAGAGAAGCAGGGATACATTTAATATTGAACAGATCATTTCAATAATAACAATAAATATAGACATTTTAAGATGATGAACAATATTTTATGAGTGCAGCAGCCATGCTGGCATGCAAGGCTCACATCAGTTGTAAAGCAAACAGGCCACTGATCCTCTCAACTAATAGTGACATTCATTTTATTATTCATTGTGTCATGAAAACATTTCACTAAGCTGATGGAAATCTCATCTTATCTTGCAAAATTATGACATATTCCTGCTAATTTTGAGTGGGTACAAAGTTATTAGCTCAAATTAAATCATTCTATGAACTATGTTTGCACACAAAATACAAAAAAAAAATCTAATATTCTGTTTTCCCTTTTGCTTTCCTCCATTAATACACGCCATTTCTAAATATTTGCTTCAAAGTTAATTAAGTTTAAAACCAAACAGCAGCTCTCTAGATAAAAATTTCATGACTAGATTGATTCTCTAAATGCTTTTTATATGTTTTTTAATATCCCACAAAACACAAATACATTGACCCTACACATTCAAATAAATTACAGTTAAAGCAAACTGCATGAGAAAAGCAATGCTTCACAATACCATCATGTTAATTTTGTATCAAAAGACACATTTAAAAAAGAACTGAACTACAACAATATGGTAGGAAACATTTAACAATTACATGGAAATAAGACAAAATTAAAAGAGGCCTTAAAAACAGCCACAGCCTGCCATAAATTCACAATAAATCCATTATTAAAATCCCGTCCTGGTCATTTTTTTTTTCAACAATTATCAAGATCCAATAGGTTGCTTAGTATGTGAGGCCATGATCTCCTTTTCATTAAATATTGCTTCACAATTAAATTTCGGTTGAGCAAGGCAAAAAAAAAAAACAACTAATGTGGCAACTACGCCTTTCATATTTTCTACCTTGCCTCAATTTTAGGACAATATACTAGAAGTAAAAAATAAGTAAATAAAAAATTATTTTTAAAATCTCTGTTCTCTCTTTAAAACTAATTTTGTACCTTGCCTCCATGGCCCTCATTGCTTCTTGCATCTGGTTGGTCTTCTCTTCAAGCTTGGCAACAAGTTCTGTTTTGTGTTTTAGAGAGCCATCACATGCCTAAAGGTTCAAAGAAAATAGGTTTAGACCTTATTCATTAAGATTGTTTGAGGACATGAAAGTAGTTTTTTTTTTTTTTTTTTTCTTTTTGCATATAACTATCATCAAAACAAGTTTCTATGCCCTGCTTTAAGCCAGCTTTGAGTCCTGGTAATTTTTTCATGCCCCCGTTTGCCTGTTCATTCATATGCTATTATTTTAGTCATGTGTTACACACTTCCACTCTTGGAAAAGTATGTTATAATTGGGGAATGTAAAAGTATTTTTAGTTTCTTATTTCTAAAGACAGACTGGGCGTGTTTGGCGTTGAAACTGAAATATGTCTCGATCTTTGGAGAGTTTAATGTTGTGAATTTGTATTTTTTATTTTTATTATTTTTCTTTTGTATAATTTCCTGCGATAACTGCTTAAAAACCAATTGATATGCCCATTTAAGTTAGCAATCCCCACTTGTGGCTTAGATTGCTATTTTAAGGCTTGAATGTTACCACTAAAATGACCTGTTATTTGTAAAATGTGCATCAGTTAATCGTGCTCGCAATTTCCTTTCACATCGTCACGTTCTGAATAATGATTTCCAAACACCTGCATGTAAAGAAAGGGAAAAAGCTAAAAAATTCTCTTATGGAAATTATTTCACAGTTGGTATCAGTTAGGTACACAGTTGAGGACCATTCAATCCAGAGTTTTGAAATACAGCAGATAAAACACTAAAATGAACTAACAAACTATCATACTATAAATCAAAACTGTTACATCTGCTCATTATCCTACACTGGTAACAGGTACGAAGAGGACCTGACATTTCAGATTTCTTGATTTGTCTTTGATGCATTGTATTTATCAAAAATCAGCCAATTTACCATCTATACAGCTTAAACTTCTAATGAAAATTAGAAGTGAAAAATAATCCACATGATTCTATTCTAAAAATGTGGAAACATATCTCTGAGGCATAAAAATTCAAACTTTAATTCTGGCTGTTTCGAACATTTAGTTTTATTGCTCATTTTGAAATTGGTTCAAGGTAAGAGGTCAAGATGACAGCTGCTGTTCCATGGCATTTATGGCTAAAAAGCAGCAACAACAACAATAACAACAACAGAAAAACAAATTTTCACATTTTTGGTTAAATCTCATATACCTCCATCACATAATAAATTTGGAAGGAATTAATGAGAAATTTTTGACAATATTTATTTTTTTTCAAATTGCCTCAATACAGCATCAGGATTTTAATTTATTTTGATGAAGCTTCAAATTGATGGAAACAAAATAATGATATCAAAGTATAAAACTGGCTTGGGCCTACTTAGGGAAACATAGTCTTCAAAACATTTCGTGTAGTATTTTTGGGTTTTCAGGTCACAAAGGTGATGATTGCACAGTATTAAGAAAATTGTTGTGGACTGTAATTTCATTACAGTATGTATGCTTTCCTTTTTTACTTTAATAATTTCATTTATTCATTAATTTATCCATTTTTTCTATTTTCTATTTTTTTCATTCCATATCCAAAAAAACTGCCTCTTTAAGATGGGTGAACAAGAATTTAGACTCAAAACGTTGCTACTTACATCCAAAATAAAAAAAATATTATCTTTCTAATAAAAATAATATTTTTGTATTTATACATCACATTATCAAGTTCAATTAAACATTCTACAATGCTAGAAGATATCATAAAACTTTTTGTGGAAGTTTTGTACTCTTTGACAACAAACTCAATACTTAGTCTTCTCTTTTGAAATGGTCCCTAAGCATGTAAATGATAATTGCTGTCAGAATTAAAGTTCATCTTCGCAAAAGTGGGCTCTTCCTAGGCGTCACTTCTTTCACCTTGAGGTAAAACTAACCATTTATAAGGAGGCAAAAGGTGGAGGAGCTAAGAATTTATTTGCGAGATAGCAAGAGACAACAGCCCGGATCTCAACAGTTGCTTCACAACTTGAAGAAGAGTCAAAGCTAAGAAAAGGTAAGTTACAAAAATGATGTAAGCTAAGAGTAATCATCCAACCAGGCATTCAAGGAATTGTTTTATGTAAACTTTTCATTTGTGTGTCTTATTTCTTTTGTTTTTCAACAGTTTCAACTTGTTTCAAGCTTGTTTCAGCGAACAAAGAATTTATCCTCTAGTTGCCAAAACCTTGTCAGTTCAACCAAGTTTATAAAAAACAACTTTTTGGACCAGTTAGACAACAACCGAGTGATAGCTAAACTTTGCTTTCCTATTCATATTTACCAGTTTTTTTCTTTTTCTATCAGTTTTTTTATCTGCTTTTAAAAACAAAAAAATTGCAACTAATGTTGCAAGTTACATTTTTCTCTATCTATTTCCTATATATATATATTTATTTATTCATTTATTAATTTTATTTATTTATTTACTTATTGTACCAATTGAAATTTCAACAAACAACATGCCTCATTACAGGAAATTCTTGAATTCCTAATTTGTTGCATTTTGGCAGAGCAACAACAATAAGATGAAAAAGAAACTGACAAAATGAGAAAATGCATAATTGTTCATTCAGGTTATTTCTTAATTCCTTTTTTGCGTGTAAATGAGATAAATTTGTTATCCTTGCCATAATTTTTACTAACACTAGAACTAAATTTAGTTCTTTTATGAGGATCCTTACAGGCACTTAAGTGTGTTTTTCAGCAGATGTGTTTTTAAAACAATGGCTGATATTTACTACGCACACATGGCATATAAGGATCTTCTCACAAAGTGCCAGTAAACGTCTGCTGGATAGTACATTAATGTCTGGTTTTAATCTTCCGAACAAGGATCCTTTGACTAGGTCAGCTTGACTGCCATTCTACACTCAGCCAAAAAAAAAAAAGTTTAGACACATTGCTATATTCAACAATTATGAAATAACCATATGAGCTAAGGTAAATATTTAAACCAAATTTTGAAGGATAATTACTTTTTTTTATATACAATGAACATTTTCCTACTACATTACATATCTCTTTAATTATGTTCCCGAACTTTTTGATTAAGTGTATTTAACTTTTAAAAGTACCATCTATGTCTGAATGTAAATATAAGAAAAAAAAATAATAAGCTGTTTTGAGACAATAAACTGAGATAATGATAACCTATTTTTATAAACAATTATTCCATTAAAAATCGGAAGTATGAAAATAGTTCTAACTTGATAATAAATATAGTAATATCCATAATAATCAATTGACATATTAATTCAAAGACTCTTTATTCGACAAGGAAACTCAGGATATTAGAAAAAACATGCTGCTTAATTGACTTATTCAGTGACTTAACCTCCCAGCTTAAAAAAATTATTTCTCAAATACAGACTTACTTGTATTGGCAATAAAAATGTGTTATGAAGCACAACCAAAGTATATCATACTTTTTTTAACATATATGGTGCTGGTGGATGCATTTAGTCACTTATTTCTAGATTTTATTATTTTCTCTTCACTACAAAATATTTACAGCATAGCATTTATATTCTCCCATAAAAGCAGGACATTGGATTTAGCACATACTTATGATTTCCACACTTTTCTGATTAGCCTTTTTTTTATTCGAAAACATGAAATAATCACTGACTCAATTTCAGTGGTGCTAAAACACATCACAGAACTGAAACTATATCAGGATAAGACAAAATCTTCATTAAACAATCAAGAGTGAGCTAGTTTATCCCTCTCAAAACAGGATAACCTCACTTATTTTCACTATTCTTTCATTATCTTGCAGATCACGATGTCTAAGCTGGTTCTGAGCTTGTCTATCATTGGGCTGATTCTGATGCAGGTGGTTTTGTACACATCTGCTCAGATGTACCACTACAGCAAAGGATGGGGACCTTCATCCTCTGGTAAAAGGAACTCCCCAGAAAATCTCTGTCAAGTCAGGCCTTTTATTAGAAAACTTGTCCATGATGTGATTCAGGTAAGGATTTTATTTGTAATTTCAGTCATCTCTCAAATAATCAGCAATTTTAACTGCTGACAAAAATATAGAAGTAAAGGTTGACCTATCAAGACTATTTACTGGTCATAGACGATTCATTTGCAAAAGAGGGTTCTTACTGTAACAAATGTATCATTGAAAGATGATTATGTACTGTGAATAAACAACTACACTCCCTGTAAATTGAAGACTATCATGTACTAAGTAAGTCATTCCTTAATTTTCAAACATGATATAGATACGTGTCTTCAAGTTCTCAATTCTGACCAAAAACTCAAAATCATTTCAATTGGATCACTGAGTATTATTTAACCTCAGTTCTTTAAAATTATTTATTTATTCATTATTTATTTATTTATTCATTTTTGTCTGTGGAAGAACAACCATATAAAAGTGACGTACGGAGTGCCATGATAACTTACAAATTTTTAACAACCTGATCATATGGCATTACCCAACACAACATTCTAAAGACCTGCAGATCCACTTAGGTTCATGACAGAAAGCATTTTTTTTTTTTTTTTTTTTTTTTGT